GGTCAGCCTTCTTTATGGTCCAGCTCTCACTTCCATACATCGCTACTGGAAAAACCATAGCTTTGACTATGTGGACCTTTGTTGGCAAGATGATGTCTCTGCTTTTTAAGATGCTGTCTAGGTTTGTTATCGCTTTCCTCCCAAGAAGCAGGCATCTTTTAAGTTCATGGCTGCTGTCACCATCTGCAATGATCATGGAGCCCAAGAAAGAAGAATCTGTCACTGTCTCTATATCTTCCCCTTCTATTTGCCAGGAGGTGATGGAACCAGTGGCCATGATTTTTGGGTTTTTTATGTTGAGCTTCAGACCATTTTTTTCTACTCTCCTCTTTCACCCTCATTAAGAGGCTCTTTAATTCCTCCTCACTTTCTGCCATCAGAGTGGTATCATGTGCATATCTGAGGTTGTTGATATTTCTTCTGGCAGTCTTAATTTCGGCTTGGGATTCATCCAGTCCAGCCTTTCACATAATGTATTCTGCGTATAAGTTAAATACGCAGGGAGACAATATACAGCCTTGTCATACTCCTTTCCCAATTTTGAACCAATCAGTTGTTTCATATCCAGTTCTAACTGTTGCTTCCTGTTCCACATATAGATTTCTCAAGAGGTAGATAAGGTGGTCAGGCACTCCCATTTCTTTAAGAACTTGCCATAGTTTGTTGCGGTCTACACAGTCAAAAGCCTTTGCATAGTTAATGAAGCAGAAGTAGATGTTTTTCTGGAACTCTCTGGCTTTCTCCATACTCCAGCGCATGTTAGCACATGTCACAAGGGACACAGAGGCTTTATTCACAAATGATTTGCTCAGGCAACACAGCTTTGAAGGAATGCATAACTGGAAGGAAAATGCTATAACACTAAGGAATATACAGTCCATCTGAAGCATGATTTGACCTTGAGGAGTTCAGCTTACAAGTTCAATGGGGCACATCATACAACTGACTCAACCAACAGATGAATAAGTGTGCTAATATTCATTTTGCAGTGTGCAACATGCCTGAATTTTTAGGTATGATGTAGAAATTCCAGGTTAATAGCTGCCCCCATATCTATAGCTTCTAGGGAGGAATCTAAGAACAGCACACCAGGAAGGACATGGTTAAAAATAAATAATTGGATTTTCTCATCCAGTCATATTTCACAAGCTGCTTTCAAACTTCAGATGGTACATACAGTGTAGCCAAGTAGAGAAGAAAAGAAAAATACACGAGGCTACATCTTCAGTTCCTTGTACACACACTACAACATTACAGCATCATGTCCGTAAAAGTTAAATATTAACTAATAAACTTAGCTTAGCATACATTTCAACTATGTTACAAAATAAGGAATTGAAGACAACAATTTTAAAGAAACAAGGCATAAATTCTTCATAACTAGCAAATGTTTCTGACACAGTGAAAGGACAATGAACCATATTTTCTGAGCAGTAAGGCCTACAACAATAATTTCTGATATGTTTGTTATTTTCCTTGTAATAGCCATTAAACGAATTGGCTTCCCTCACTTGATGATGCCTCAACTCATTCTGTAGTAGGGGCTTAGTAATAAAGATATCATTAATGTATCTGCAAAACTATTTATTCCACATTTACCCTTCAAAATTTGATAAAGTGAGATTGCAGCCACACAGAACTAAGCATTTTTGCAGGATGCTGTATCTGATCAAGTTGCTTCAAGGAGTTTGCACAAACTGATTGCACCAAGAAGTGGAACAAATATTGGTAATAAAGAGAAGAAGAAAAAAAAGACTATTAACAACAGATCTCTTAATCATCAATGGAAACTGGAGAGTTTCTATTGTTACACGGAGGTAGCTTGTGATCAGTCACAACCAACGCTTACTGAGTGAATTTAATTAAACCACATCAGGTTCTGAACAAGTTCTATCTTTCCAAATTTCTAAGAGTCCTGAGCTGAAAGAACTGCACAAGAATCTGGATATGCAGTAACTGTGATCCTGCTGATTAAAAAGCATCAAGGCAGACAAGCAGACTATCCCAAGGTAAACAAATCATGAAACAAGTCGTAATCAGGAAACAAAAGAAAACTATATCTTGTCAATCAAAGCAAACAACAGAAGTAAAATAAGAGCAGGTTAATAGGCTGCACTGGAATATTTCCATTGTACCTTTTTATTGTTTGCCCTTAGAACATCCAATTCTTTTAAGAGGAAAGCAATATCCTTTTCTTTATCTAGGTTTGCAGTGACATGAAAAGGATCCACGTGGTCAGGCAGGACTTTTGCACCTTGCTTTTTAGAAGAACTAGAATAAAATGAAAGGGGGGGGGTGAAGAAACCACATCACTGATCAGTTCAACAAAATGTCTTGCTTTCTACACACACACACACACACACACACACACACACACAGAGTCTTAGTGTCATCCATTGGCATGTTTGATTCGAAGCATGAGCTGCTGAAGACAGTTCCACAGCAGAGAAAACAGTACGTCACTCTGTAGAAACCAGCTTTGGATCATCATACTCATGATATGTGAGAGAATAAACTATGAAGCAGTGTAGTGCAGTGCAGATGCTTATTACATTTATGTAAGCAGCAATGGTTAAAAAACCCACAAATCGTTTGCAATGATCATCCAGCTCTAGACAGAAATGAAAAGGATGCAAAACCTGTGTAACAGGAAAAGTTTAAGCAACAGCATTAGAAACTTAAAATTAACCTGCAGTGAAAGTGAGTGTGTGTGTGCGTGCACACACACACATACGTACTAGCTCAGACTAGTGTAGATGTCCAAGGGTGCCAACTGGACTCCTCACACATTTTCCCTTCTTATGAATTTCTGCACGCCATTTAACATGATTACAATGAAACTAGAGAGGCTTCTAAACTCACTTTAATAAACTAATTTTTATCCAAGTCTCTGGGTGGACCTAGGAACAGTTATAGTGTCACAGTGTCATTTGAACTTGTGTTACAACAGTGATAGACAATACTATCTTCTCTGTAACAGAGCAGAAACTTATGCCCACTCACTAAATGTTCATTCCCATTTATACTTGCTGGACAGAACAACTGTCAGGTGGGATACACAGTTGGTTACAAAATCGTACTCAGAGGGTGATGATTAATGGCTCCTTTTCAAACTGGGTGGAAATAACAAGTGGGGTACCCCAGGGCTGAGTCCTGGTCCCTTTACTATTCAACATTTTTATTAATGACCTGGATTATGGGGTGCAGAGAATACTAATCACATTTCTGAATGACACAAATTTGGGTGGAATAGCTAATAGCCAGGAAGACTGAAACAAAATTCAAAATGATCTGGATATGCTGGAGCACTGGGCTGAACACAACAGAATGAAATTCAACAGGGATAAGTGCAAAGTACTGCACCTAGGAAAAAGAAACCAAATGCACAGTTATGAGATGGGGGATACTTGGCTCAGCAATACTACAAGTGAGAAGGATCTTGGAATCACTGTATATGAGTGAACAGTGTGATGTGGCGACAAAAAAGGCAAATGCTATTTTAGTCTCCAAATCCCACAAAATATACATTCCCCTCTACTCAGCACTGGTTAGGCCTCATCTTTAGTACTGTGTCCAGTTCCAGACACCACACTTCAAAAAGGTCACTGACAAATTGGAACAAGTTCACAGGAGAACAACAAGGATTATCAGGGGGCTGGAAACCAAGCCCTATTTTGAAAGACTGAAAGAACTGGGCATGTTTAGCCTTGAGAAAAGAAGACTAAGGGGCAATATACAGTAATAGCACTTTTCAAATACTTGAAAGGCTGTCATACAGAGGAGAGGCAGAATCTCTTCTCAATTACCCTAGTGTGCAGGACACGCAACAGTCAGCACAAGTTGGCAGAATCTCTTCTCAGTCACCCTAGCGTGCAGGACACGCAACAGTCAGCACAAGTTAGGAAACCAGATCTTGGTTGAATATTAGGAAAAACATCCTAGCTGTTAGAGCAGTACGGCAATGGAACCAGTTACCTCAGGAGTTGGTGAGTGCTCCAACACTGGAGGCATTCAAGAGAAATTTAGATACCCACCTGGCAGATATTCTTTGATTTCTATTCTTGCATTGAGTAGGGTGTTGGACTCTATGGCCTTACAGGTCCCTTCCAACTTCATTATTCTAATGATTACCATATTTTTCCGTGTATAAAATTACTCTTTTTCCTAAAATAACTAGAGGAAAATTTGAGGGCTGTTTTATACACGGAAGGCAGCAGGAGGAGGTGGAGACTGAGGCAAAGAAGCAACCGCGCTTGGCTGCCTCTCATGGCTGCCCATTGTAGAAGGAGGCGGAGACTGAGGCAAAGAAGCAACTGCGCTTGGCTGCCTCTCATAGCTGCCCATTGACTGCTGCCGGTGCTGCCCGATCGCCCCCTCCAGCGATCGTCTCCTTGCAATTGGGCAGCGGCAGTCAATGGGCAGCAGCGAGAGGCGGCCGAGCGCAGCTGCTTCTTTGCCTCTGTCTCCGCCTCCTACTGCTGCTGCAGTCTCCTCTGTGCCACTCATGGGCTCAGCAGCAGCAGGAGGCAGAAACAGAGACAAAGACACAGCCGCACTCGGCCACCTCTCACGGCTACCCATTGACTGCTCCTCGACCTCTGGCAAGTGTATATTACCCTCCCTCCTACACATTGGGGGGGGGTACTATACATGGAAAAATAAGGTATTCTTTGATTACTATTAAAATGTATGTTCAAGACGAATGGCATTTACCAAAAGACCAACCAGGAGGACAAAGAAGTGCCATGAACTTGATATAATTTTCCTACCAACGTAGGTCAGCGTCCTGTTACAGATTTCTGGATATTGTGCAAGGTTGTTGTGCAAATGCTTGTGTATCTGGTTGTGCAATTGTATCTAGCCAAATACTACAACTGTTTGGACAACATCAGTTGTGTGTCTATGGAAAATCCCTAACAGGATGCTGGCCACAGTAGCTAATCATAAGCTAGCCCTAATTATTAGGATGTTTTTTAAAAATAAAAACAAATACTTTTGTGCTAAGAACAGGGCATGTCAGCTGAAACAGAGAGAGACAGAAACATTTATGTATGAGAGTGCATGTGTGGGATTTGCACCAATGCACTACTACTAAACCATAATGTAGGTTTTCTAGATTATTTGAACTACAACATTTTCCACCATTAATGGATACTTCATTTCACTTCCTAACTCCTTTAAAAAGATACTCACTTCCCATCCTCTTCAGACAAGTACACCAGACCTGTACCACTACAATCTATGGCATGTTTTTCAAAATCTCTCCTACGACAAAAAAACCCACAGTAGATTTTAAAAATTTGGAAATTAACATTTTGCTTACCTGAACCTTTCCCCAGTGCATGAGACAGCAAGATTATTTTGATGCAAAGTTTGAGCAGAAGCCACTTGGACACCACTGAAGCTGGTCATTGGTTGATCTGAAGGTAGATTTTGTTTGTTGCTTGTCTGAGTGTCCTCCCCTCTTCTTGGCTGTGATCTGGCTGAAGAACCTTGAAAATTCAGGTCACTAGGAATACAGCACTCACACCTCTGCTCTGTATTCTGCTCCATTATTAGTCTCAGCCTGGAAAGCAACATTTCATTGCTTAGTTTCAGAACATGCAAAGACAGTTGTTTAATGCAGACTGATAATGACATTTCTGGCTTTGGAGAAAAGCCATGCTACATCAGACCAAAAGCCCACAATAGGGGAATGTGTGGCCCTCCAAATGTTGTTTGCGCTGCAGATGTATTTGCACCAAAACAGCTAGTTCCTACGGCACCCAACCATATGCACCAAAGGGAAGACCAAAGAAGGATTATACCACAAGTGCTGCATAAGATATGGGGCTCATTTGCTCATTTGATAATGGGAGGAAAGTACCATTGACAACATGAAAGAAAAATGCAAAGTTTCTGTAGTTCAGTCTAAAGAGGGTCTCCTATACGGAGGATTGTAGATACCTCTAGGTCCGTACTTGAGTTTCATCCCAGGTGTGCAGTGTCGCCCTCTCACAAGACTACCTCACAGTTATTATCAGGAAACTACCTCACATTACATTCCTACAGTACTTCCTTGTTCACAAGTATACTTCTGTTTATGGGAAATGAAGCAGTTTGCTTCTTGTATTACATAGCATATTGTCCACTAAAATTTTCTGAAGATCAAGAGGAACCTACATACATGTTTAGCATAGCACCTATTCTTCTATTGCAATTTTGATGCAATTTGCTTGTTACCCACTATAGGTAACAGACAATTATTAGTACATTCACTAGTAATAGCTGAAGATAAACATTAAAAGAGGACAGCCCTCTGTGTGTAAAATGAGTAAGATAACAATCCAACAATACC